ATTATAAAAACAACAAAATTGAAAAATAATCATTTATCAAATAGAGGCCAAATCAGGGGATTACTTTAACACATACTAGTGTTATGACATGGTAACCAAAAATTAATTCATGCTAATACGACTGTTGCTTCCAGCCAGAATCCATTTTGTGATGGTTCAAAACACCACTAATTTCAAGCTATAGTTATGCATTAGATATTTAGATTTATTAATCACCATTATTAAATAAAGTTTATACTCTACACCCAGTCAGCAAATATTAAGCTAAGTTACATTTGTCATTACAGCAAGGATATTATGATAATACTGAACATCATCCTGTACAAGATACAGCAGGAACTATGGATTTGAAGAAGGAGGGTGGTGATGATTTGGATTTAATTGGTATGTATTTTAGAATCAATGGTATATCCTAAAAAGCAGATAGTGTGGTTTCCAGCTACTTTTGTCACTTTTTTCCAAAAACAGTTAGATTTCCCAAAAAAAAACACGTTTTGAAGGCTAAAATTACCATAGAAAAGGAGCAACACAGAGCTCACACAGCTTTTGAGATACCATTGCAGTTTGATATAACTTTGAGAATAACCTGCCTCTTGCTGGCCGCACCTACCTCGGAACATGAGCGACAGTAATCCGAGGCAGCCATGCGCGTCTCTTCACATTCACTTTTCAGCCTAAACGTATTCATTCTGTTCCCTACTTAGTCTAATCATATTAGACGAAAATACTGTTTGCGAAATAATTGTAAAGTCTGGTTTTATTGCTGCAAGTTGTTCAAGGGGGCATTTAAAACATGGACGCCTAAAATGGGTACACCAACTTTTGTTCTTCATTAAAAATATTCACAAATCGCTGTCGTTTGTCTTTACTACAGACTAAAATGATGGTGTAATCGTCATCTTTTGTGATTTCGACTATAGAACAAATTGGATTGACTAATGAACACAGAGGGGTAGCTGGAGAGAAGTCGCGAATACTGACGTCACGCCAATTGCGTTGCGTTTGGACTTTTTATATTTACCGCATAATTTTTCCATTTTCTATTAATCAGTATTCGTAATTTTATAGCACTTGACAATAAAATAAGATCGAAGGTGTTATTCTGTAGCAATATTGTTGTACTAATAATAATTGAAGATGTATTGTTTATAATTTCAATTTTCCAGAGCACACCATTTCACTGGACGTAGACAAGATGAACAGAGAAAAGATTGACGCAGATTGCCATCTGTGGGATGCTTTGGAAAGTTCAAAGTGGCTACCAATGGAAACTTTGGAAGTATCCTAAAATATTTAATTATACAGGTGTTTCACACTTCCTTATCTAGATTAACACGTAGTTTTTAAGGAATACGTGTATTCAGGAAAAGTCATAGGTATGACTGAACTGGTGAGCTTTATGTCTATATGATTCAAATGACAGCTGACATAAACCGCTTTACTTCTGTAATCCTGCAATTTCCTATCATTAGAATTAGTATTTTTACTTCAAATATGTCCATATTGTTACGGAAAATATGTATTTGTCTGTACATAACTGCAATTATACAAATTCCATGAAAATTGACTGTTTATATTATTCTTCATGCTTACGAAATTAGGGTTTCTCCAAAAAAAACTGTTAGTGACGATATCGTGACGATTCTAAACACACTTTTACTCGGCCCCCTTAAGACAGGGTTTCCAGACAACTATCCCTCAGAATTGAATCACCCAATTGCTATTAGCGAAACGTGTGACATGCCTCAGAACATTTCCCGAAGTAAAAATCCCTAAATTTGGAGGAAAATCCCCCAATATGGCAACCCTGTTAAAGCACCACTGGTACTCCAAGGTGTCAAGTTTCGAGGTTGGACAAAACGAGTCTTGGACGGAGTTCCGGATCAAGTTTTTCACCAACAATTTGGAGATTAGCAGGAACAATTTCCAACAGATTTCTCACTATTTACACCAGCGATTTGCAAGAAAATCTAAAATCCGTTTGTTGGTGTTCATATGGCGGATATGTCAAACCACAGCGTTGCCAGATAGGCCGGACAGAATTTCCCCAGAACAAACACAAAAATACCACAGAATTGAATCGCTCAAATCACAGTTAATTAAGGGAAAGGGGTAGGTTTGGTTCAAAGAGCGGGGATGCTTACTATCAGCGAAACGTGTGATATCCCCCAGAACATTTATCCGAAGTGAAAATCCCTAAATTTGGAGAAAAATCCCAAATATGGCAACCCTGTTGAAGCACCACTGGTACTCCAGGCGACAAGTTTCGAGGTTGGACAAAAGATTGAGTTTTCAACAACAATTTGGAGATTAGCAGGAACAATTTCCAACAGATTTCCCACTATTTAAACCAGCGGTATGCAAGAAATAATCTAAAATCCGTTTGTTGGTGTTCATATGGCGGATATGTCAAACCACAGCGTTGCCAGATAGGCCGGACAGAATTCCCCAGAACAAACAAAATACCACAGAATTGAATCACCCAAATCACAGTTAATTAATGGAAAGGGGTAGGTTTGGTTCAAAGAGCGGTGATGCTTACTATCAGCGAAACGTGTGATATCCCCCAGAACATTTATCCCGAAGTGAAAATCCCTAAATTTGGGGGAAAATCCCCCAATATGACAACCCTGTTAAAGCACCACTGGTACTCCAGACGTCAACAGATTGAGTTTTTTACCAACATTTGGAGATTTGCAGGAACAATTTCCAACAGATTTCCCACTATTTACACCAATGATTTGCAAGAAATAAGCTAAAATCTCTTTGTTGGTGTTCACATGGGCGGATATGTCAAACCACAGCGTTGCCAGATAGGCCGGACAGAATTTCCCCAGAACAAACTCAAGGATCCCTTACAATTGAATCCCCCAAATCACAGTTGATTAATGGAAAGGAGAAGGTTTGGTTCAAAGAGCGGGGATGCTACCTGTAAGCGAAACGTGTGATATGCCTCAGAACATTATATCCCGAAGTGAAAATTCGTAAATTTGGAGAAAAATCCCAAATATGGCAACCCTGTTGAAGCACCAAAGCACCACTGGTACTCCAGGCGACAAGTTTTGAGGTTGGACAAAAGGAATCTTGGACAAAAGATTGAGTTTTTCAACAATTTGGAGATTAGCAGGAACAATTTCCAACAAATTTCCCACTATTTAAACCAGCGGTTTGCATGAACCCGTGGCGTTGCCAGATGGACCAGACAAAATTCTCCCAGAACAATCACAAAAATCCCTAAGAATTGAATCACCCAAATAACAGTTAATTAATGGAAAGGATAGGTCTGGTTCAAACAGCGGGGATGCTTACTATCAGCGAAACGTGTAATAGCCCCCAGAACATTTATCCCGAAGTGAAAATCCCTAAATTTGAGGGAAAATCCCCCAATATGACAACCGTGTTAAAGCACCACTGGTACTCCAGGCGTCAAGTTTCGGGGCTGTTTGTCATACAGTGATTTCAGATTCCCTTCTCAATACTTTTAATGAAAAACATTTTGCAATATTGGTCAGAGGTCTCCAAGACCAAGCTAACAGCATTCGACTTCCATTGAGCTACTTTTTTTGATCTCCGTCAGCCTTGTTTTGTATGGTAGAAAAAGCTACTGTGTCAGTTTATCTACTTGCTATAGTAACGATGCGGAATATGGATTGACTGAAAGAAAATGTATGCATTGCATGAGTATGCAAACTGAACGTGACAGGATTATTTCAATATCTCATCATAAAGATTAATTCAAGACACAGTTGAATCAGTTTTGTGAAGTCCGTGAAACAGGGCAAAATTATGTTTAAGCTTCCTGTGTGAATGCTACGTGCTACCACATCAAGGGATACCATGTCTAGTATTTACTTTTTTTTATTTCATCCCAATGTTTTTAGTTTATTAATAAAAAAAGACGGGTATTATTTAAATATGTTTATTTATGATACAATTTGAAATGTATAGCATAAAGAACTCTGTAAAATATTGAAAAAAAAATTACATATGTACAGTAAAAAATCTGCTAATTTGACTTCAGATCACATCCTCCTTCAGTAAACACTCAGTGTAAAGTGCGATGCCTTTGACAAGAATTTTCTTTAACGTATATGGCCAACTTGGGTTTAGAGCTGCGTCAATTAGGAATAGAAATACCAGCGAGTTACATTGTGACCCCAATTGACAACTTGAAGTTTGAGTTATTTTCAACACCCCGCTAGACCCTGATTCTTTCATTCACAATTACATATAAATAGCTCATAGAATAAATACGTACGAACGTTTTTCACTTAGAAATATCAATTAATATGTTGTTCAGACTTAACATCTGTGCGTATTTCAACTTCGGATGCCACGCATTCCTTTCCGCATTGTATCAAAAACTTTTTCTGAATTATTAGATTCCTTGCCATCCACCGGGCTAAGTTTCGCATCTTTTTCTACACCGTCGACCAAAACGCGTTCATAATCAGACTCTATTTCCATGACTGTTGCCTGATCCTCGTTCACTACTTCAGCTTCATGATGAGCGATTGTATAATTGTTCTCTGGAAGTGCCTCTACCTCGACGTACTGATCCTCGGTATCTTCCTCATCGGTACTCGCACATACGGTCAAGATATTCTCTGCTGCAAAATTTTAATTTATCATATATGAAGAAGTCCATTGAATATATTGAAGAAAATAAGATATTGACAAAATTCTACTGAAACAGCAATTCAAATGGTAGTAGAAGAATGGAGGCGAAATATGGATAAAAAAAAGTGTACAGTAACATTATTCTTAGATTTCAAGAGAGCATTTGAGACTATTGACAGGGAAAATTGTTAACGAAATTGCGTTGCTGTGGATTTCAAGGTTCAGTATTCAACTTATTACAAAATTATTGATCAATAGAAGTCAAAGAACTAAAATTGGCAATACAGATTAAACATTAAAAACCGGTAGGTGTGCCACAGGGAAGCAAATTAGGTCCATTGCCATTTATTTATATATTAACGATACTCCTGATATTTTACAACACTGCAAAATTCAACTATTTCTTGATGATACATTAATATATATATGTATATATATATATATATAGATATATATAGATATTTGAGACGTGGTCATTGTCGTCTAGACCAGTTAGATGAAAAATTAAAGCTTCCGCCTTTTGTTGGGTACTTCAACAAAATTTAAGCAAAGAGGACTCTTTATACTTTTTTAATTCTCTCTAGCTTTCAATGGACTTTGCCATCATCATCAGGAGCTGCAATTACATTGATAACAGTAGCAACAATAGTGTAAAATGAATTTAAATTGACTTAACTTACAGTAGTATGTGAGGATGTTGCTAATTGTTGTTTACGTTCAGGATGAGGGAAAAACCCAGTAACATGGTGGGTTTTCCCTCATCCTGAACGTAAACAACAATTAGCAACATCCTCACATACTACTGTAAGTTAAGTCAATTTAAATTCATTTTACACTATTGTTGCTACTGTTATCAATGTAATTGCAGCTCCTGATGATGATGGCAAAGTCCATTGAAAGCTAGAGAGAATTAAAAAAAGTATATATATTTGCTTAAATTTTGTCGAAGTACCCAACAAAAGGCGGAAGCTTTAATTTTTCATCTAACTGGTCTAGACGACAATGACCACGTCTCAAAATATATATATATATATATATATATATATATATACATATATATATATTAATGTATCATCAAGAAATAGTTGAATTTTGCAGTGTTGTAAAATATCAGGAGTATCGTTAATATATAAAATAAATGGCAATGGACCTAATTTGCTTCCCTGTGGCACACCTACCGGAATGTTTTTAATGTTTAATCATGTATTGCCAATTTTAGTTCTTTGACTTCTATTGATCAAATAATTTTGTAATAAGTTGAATACTGAACCTTGAAATCCACAGCAACGCAATTTCGTTAACAATTTTTCCCTGTCAATAGTCTCAAATGCTCTCTTGAAATCTAAGAATAATGTTACTGTACACTTTTTTTTTATCCATATTTCGCCTCCATTCTTCTACTACCATTTGAATTGCTGTTTCAGTAGAATTTTGTCAATATCTTATTTTCTTCAATATATTCAATGGACTTCTTCATATATGATAAATTAAAATTTTGCAGCAGAGAATATCTTGACCGTATGTGCGAGTACCGATGAGGAAGATACCGAGGATCAGTACGTCGAGGTAGAGGCACTTCCAGAGAACAATTATACAATCGCTCATCATGAAGCTGAAGTAGTGAACGAGGATCAGGCAACAGTCATGGAAATAGAGTCTGATTATGAACGCGTTTTGGTCGACGGTGTAGAAAAAGATGCGAAACTTAGCCCGGTGGATGGCAAGGAATCTAATAATTCAGAAAAAGTAATTTTGATACAATGCGGAAAGGAATGCGTGGCATCCGAAGTTGAAATACGCACAGATGTTAAGTCTGAACAACATATTAATTGATATTTCTAAGTGAAAAACGTTCGTACGTATTTATTCTATGAGCTATTTATATGTAATTGTGAATGAAAGAATCAGGGTCTAGCGGGGTGTTGAAAATAACTCAAACTTCAAGTTGTCAATTGGGGTCACAATGTAACTCGCTGGTATATTCTATTCCTAATTGACGCAGCTCTAAACCCAAGTTGGCCATATACGTTAAAGAAAATTCTTGTCAAAGGCATCGCACTTTACACTGAGTGAATTTACTGAAGGAGGATGTGATCTGAAGTCAAAATTAGCAGATTTTTTACTGTACATATGTAATTTTTTTTTCAATATTTTACAGAGTTCTTTATGCTATACATTTCAAATTGTATCATAAATAAACATATTTAAATAATACCCGTCTTTTTTTATTAATAAACTAAAAACATTGGGATGAAATAAAAAAAAGTAAATACTAGACATGGTATCCCTTGATGTGGTAGCACGTAGCATTCACACAGGAAGCTTAAACATAATTTTGCCCTGTTTCACGGACTTCACAAAACTGATTCAACTGTGTCTTGAATTAATCTTTATGATGAGATATTGAAATAATCCTGTCACGTTCAGTTTGCATACTCATGCAATGCATACAATTTTCTTTCAGTCAATCCATATTCCGCATCGTTACTATAGCAAGTAGATAAACTGACACAGTAGCTTTTTCTACCATACAAAACAAGGCTGACGGAGATCAAAAAAAGTAGCTCAATGGAAGTCGAATGCTGTTAGCTTGGTCTTGGAGACCTCTGACCAATATTGCAAAATGTTTTTCATTAAAAGTATTGAGAAGGGAATCTGAAATCACTGTATGACAAACAGCCCCGAAACTTGACGCCTGGAGTACCAGTGGTGCTTTAACACGGTTGTCATATTGGGGGATTTTCCCTCAAATTTAGGGATTTTCACTTCGGGATAAATGTTCTGGGGGCTATTACACGTTTCGCTGATAGTAAGCATCCCCGCTGTTTGAACCAGACCTATCCTTTCCATTAATTAACTGTTATTTGGGTGATTCAATTCTTAGGGATTTTTGTGATTGTTCTGGGAGAATTTTGTCTGGTCCATCTGGCAACGCCACGGGTTCATGCAAACCGCTGGTTTAAATAGTGGGAAATTTGTTGGAAATTGTTCCTGCTAATCTCCAAATTGTTGAAAAACTCAATCTTTTGTCCAAGATTCCTTTTGTCCAACCTCAAAACTTGTCGCCTGGAGTACCAGTGGTGCTTTGGTGCTTCAACAGGGTTGCCATATTTGGGATTTTTCTCCAAATTTACGAATTTTCACTTCGGGATATAATGTTCTGAGGCATATCACACGTTTCGCTTACAGGTAGCATCCCCGCTCTTTGAACCAAACCTTCTCCTTTCCATTAATCAACTGTGATTTGGGGGATTCAATTGTAAGGGATCCTTGAGTTTGTTCTGGGGAAATTCTGTCCGGCCTATCTGGCAACGCTGTGGTTTGACATATCCGCCCATGTGAACACCAACAAAGAGATTTTAGCTTATTTCTTGCAAATCATTGGTGTAAATAGTGGGAAATCTGTTGGAAATTGTTCCTGCAAATCTCCAAATGTTGGTAAAAAACTCAATCTGTTGACGTCTGGAGTACCAGTGGTGCTTTAACAGGGTTGTCATATTGGGGGATTTTCCCCCAAATTTAGGGATTTTCACTTCGGGATAAATGTTCTGGGGGATATCACACGTTTCGCTGATAGTAAGCATCACCGCTCTTTGAACCAAACCTACCCCTTTCCATTAATTAACTGTGATTTGGGTGATTCAATTCTGTGGTATTTTTGTTTGTTCTGGGGAAATTCTGTCCGGCCTATCTGGCAACGCTGTGGTTTGACATATCCGCCATATGAACACCAACAAACGGATTTTAGATTATTTCTTGCATACCGCTGGTTTAAATAGTGGGAAATCTGTTGGAAATTGTTCCTGCTAATCTCCAAATTGTTGTTGAAAAACTCAATCTTTTGTCCAACCTCGAAACTTGTCGCCTGGAGTACCAGTGGTGCTTCAACAGGGTTGCCATATTTGGGATTTTTCTCCAAATTTAGGGATTTTCACTTCGGATAAATGTTCTGGGGGATATCACACGTTTCGCTGATAGTAAGCATCCCCGCTCTTTGAACCAAACCTACCCCTTTCCCTTAATTAACTGTGATTTGAGCGATTCAATTCTGTGGTATTTTTGTGTTTGTTCTGGGGAAATTCTGTCCGGCCTATCTGGCAACGCTGTGGTTTGACATATCCGCCATATGAACACCAACAAACGGATTTTAGATTATTTCTTGCAAATCGCTGGTGTAAATAGTGAGAAATCTGTTGGAAATTGTTCCTGCTAATCTCCAAATTGTTGGTGAAAAACTTGATCCGGAACTCCGTCCAAGACTCGTTTTGTCCAACCTCGAAACTTGACACCTTGGAGTACCAGTGGTGCTTTAACAGGGTTGCCATATTGGGGGATTTTCCTCCAAATTTAGGGATTTTTACTTCGGGAAATGTTCTGAGGCATGTCACACGTTTCGCTAATAGCAATTGGGTGATTCAATTCTGAGGGATAGTTGTCTGGAAACCCTGTCTTAAGGGGGCCGAGTAAAAGTGTGTTTAGAATCGTCACGATATCGTCACTAACAGTTTTTTTTGGAGAAACCCTAATTTCGTAAGCATGAAGAATAATATAAACAGTCAATTTTCATGGAATTTGTATAATTGCAGTTATGTACAGACAAATACATATTTTCCGTAACAATATGGACATATTTGAAGTAAAAATACTAATTCTAATGATAGGAAATTGCAGGATTACAGAAGTAAAGCGGTTTATGTCAGCTGTCATTTGAATCATATAGACATAAAGCTCACCAGTTCAGTCATACCTATGACTTTTCCTGAATACACGTATTCCTTAAAAACTACGTGTTAATCTAGATAAGGAAGTGTGAAACACCTGTATAATTAAATATTTTAGGATACTTCCAAAGTTTCCATTGGTAGCCACTTTGAACTTTCCAAAGCATCCCACAGATGGCAATCTGCGTCAATCTTTTCTCTGTTCATCTTGTCTACGTCCAGTGAAATGGTGTGCTCTGGAAAATTGAAATTATAAACAATACATCTTCAATTATTATTAGTACAACAATATTGCTACAGAATAACACCTTCGATCTTATTTTATTGTCAAGTGCTATAAAATTACGAATACTGATTAATAGAAAATGGAAAAATTATGCGGTAAATATAAAAAGTCCAAACGCAACGCAATTGGCGTGACGTCAGTATTCGCGACTTCTCTCCAGCTACCCCTCTGTGTTCATTAGTCAATCCAATTTGTTCTATAGTCGAAATCACAAAAGATGACGATTACACCATCATTTTAGTCTGTAGTAAAGACAAACGACAGCGATTTGTGAATATTTTTAATGAAGAACAAAAGTTGGTGTACCCATTTTAGGCGTCCATGTTTTAAATGCCCCCTTGAACAACTTGCAGCAATAAAACCAGACTTTACAATTATTTCGCAAACAGTATTTTCGTCTAATATGATTAGACTAAGTAGGGAACAGAATGAATACGTTTAGGCTGAAAAGTGAATGTGAAGAGACGCGCATGGCTGCCTCGGATTACTGTCGCTCATGTTCCGAGGTAGGTGCGGCCAGCAAGAGGCAGGTTATTCTCAAAGTTATATCAAACTGCAATGGTATCTCAAAAGCTGTGTGAGCTCTGTGTTGCTCCTTTTCTATGGTAATTTTAGCCTTCAAAACGTGTTTTTTTTTTGGGAAATCTAACTGTTTTTGGAAAAAAGTGACAAAAGTAGCTGGAAACCACACTATCTGCTTTTTAGGATATACCATTGATTCTAAAATACATACCAATTAAATCCAAATCATCACCACCCTCCTTCTTCAAATCCATAGTTCCTGCTGTATCTTGTACAGGATGATGTTCAGTATTATCATAATATCCTTGCTGTAATGACAAATGTAACTTAGCTTAATATTTGCTGACTGGGTGTAGAGTATAAACTTTATTTAATAATGGTGATTAATAAATCTAAATATCTAATGCATAACTATAGCTTGAAATTAGTGGTGTTTTGAACCATCACAAAATGGATTCTGGCTGGAAGCAACAGTCGTATTAGCATGAATTAATTTTTTGGTTACCATGTCATAACACTAGTATGTGTTAAAGTAATCCCCTGATTTGGCCTCTATTTGATAAATGATTATTTTTCAATTTTGTTGTTTTTATAATATTCACTGTTAAAACTGAAAAAAATTGTAACATTGTAAAGATTGATAATACTCCTAATTATAATCTTTTTTAAAATGATATTTTCAAGTACCTGTTGCCAAGAAGCATAATTCTGCCAATATGTAGATGGATCATAATACTGGCTATAATCATTGGTTGCAGCCTGACCGCCAGGTTGATTAGGTGTGGTCACTGTATTAGTCATGGCTCCTTTGGGCTTAGGAACAGCATTGCAGATCTTCAGAGCTTTTAAGCCAAGCCCAATATAGCCATTCATGGTGATTAAACTGTCCTTCATCTCTTCTTCACTTCCAAAACGTACAAAGCCATAACCTTTACTGAAGCCACTGTTGTCCAGAATCACTAAAATATACATTTATTTTTGGGAATAAAAATATACTGGGTGTAAAATGAGAACAAGCCAAAGATAGATTAAAGAAAGAGGAAGAGCAAAAATAAGAAGGCATTATTGAAATGATAAGTAATTGTTGATTTTCCAAAGGGGATCTGATCTATTGAATGGTGCAAGCGGTGGCTTGGAATGTTTGTGGATTTGCTCTATTGTGTCTCATGCTTCATAAAGCCATGTACAGATATGTAACAACACAGTGAACCTGAATGTTACTACACTTTTGCTTCTCCAGGCAGGGTCAGTTGAGTTGTTGATCCATTTTGAGCCATTTCAACTCCTTGATCTTATATTTTCGAAGACCATAAACTACAGCAGTTGTTTTGCATTCTTTGGATCATACACCAATTCATCGAGTCAAGACAAGGATAGTATAAGGTCAAAGCGTAGTTGAGGCTGGACATTATCAACCTTTCAACTAACTTCTGGCAAGACCACAATTTATCTTATATGGCACTTCATCCAGATGAGACAAGTCAAAATGAAAAGAAAGCTGCATATCATCTGTGTAAGTTTGTATAGCTCAATGCTCAATACATGAATGTAAATCAAAAGTATATATGCAGTAAAGGACCTAAGACAGAGCCCTGAGGGACACCTGAAGAAACGGCAACAGAAGATGAGACACCTCTAACTGGCTTCACCTTTTGTTTACGATTAGTTAAGTAATTTTCAAAAAGTTTAAGCAGAATGTCAGAAAGTCCAATATACTTCAATTTACTCAACAAAATTTAATAACTTAATATAAACAAACACACAGCACATTACCTTTAGCTGTCTTTATGGTGTTATACTTTGATGAGAAAACCCTATAGAGGCTGTAATCATCAACATCAGGACTGAGGTCCCCAACCCAAACAGAAAATTCTCTATCAACCAGTGATCTGCCTGTATTACTAGCATTATTCAGCCTAAACCTAACAACAGGGCTTGTTCCAGGTATTGGTTTTCCATTTAACTTGTGCATAGCATCAATCGCCTCTTCATCATTTGCAAAGTGTACAAAACAATATCCAGCGGCTTCTCCGGTGAATTTGTTCCGCATTACTTTCACGTTTAGAGGGCTCTCACCCATTTTACGGAAAGCGCTCAATATGAAACTTTCTGTCATGTAGGGCTCCAACTAAAAATTGAACATTTCAGTCAATACGCATTAGTATAATGATTTTTAAAAGGTAACTTACGCTGCCCATCCATAGTTGGCAATGCACCATGTTATTCATTTCTATCACACTTTCCTTTGCAAAAATTAATAAAACTTTTATACACTTGTGTCGGCAAACACCAAAACAAACTTTACTAGAAATAGGTTATCCCAACATATCTGAAAGGTGTGTCAAATGTCAAAGCACATGTCAAAAGGTATCAAGCAGCGTTGCCAGGTCAAAAAATAAAATTCAGAAATTGAAACGAAACATCAAATTAAAAGAAAATTATCAGGAATTCTGAAACTTAATTTTTTAAGCTGTATTACTAGTTGTAAACGAAAAAAAGGTATTTCACTATAAATTTCCTGCTACTGTGGCGAAAATATAAAAAATAATTTGAATACATGTTTCCTGTTGTTTTTGTATGATATTGAACTACTTTTTGATACCCAAACCTTAACAAATCTTTATTTTCCAATGCGATGATTATATTACATAATACTTCTGTCAAGTAGTGTAATTAATAAGCTTCTAATATATAACTACTAACTGTATCAGTTTAATAGGATTAAAAAATGATGAACACTATATAAATTCAAACATGTATATTATGAAAAGCTCTGATAATGGATAACGTGTTCACGAAGAAACGAAGAGACGAAGACCAAACCAGGACATGGAAAATACTGTGGTGAAGATCCCACATCAATTTAGGGGATATCACCGGAAAGATATCGCAGACCGTACTGATGGCCAGACTAGATCGAAACGTAACGATACGCCAAATCTCGACACGCGGTTTCGGTTCGAAAGTGTAGTAATTGTTGGAGTTTCTGGTAGCTCAAAAATTGTTAAAAATATTCAAAATCGATCGAATTAAGATCACCAGAAATTGCCATTTTCTAAAAATTTTTCACCGATCACTAGATTAATAGAATCACCAAATCTGGTGAAATTTCACCAGATCTGGCAACGCTCGTGTCAAAGTAAAAACAGAAGGGATGTTCAATTTCAACGATGTTGCAGTATGAGTTTTGTGGCTTTAGGGTGCAATGCCATCGGGGCCTTTGGTCAGAAGACTATTGGAAAGAAAAAACCGTTCAAGCTACTTGATTTGGGCTTTTTTGTGGAATTCCTCGATAACCGCTTTAAGATAACATGACCCAAATATTGTATTTATTTGTGCAAACTGCGCATCTCTAGACGGCAATGCCAACTGTTTCTCAATTGTTGTGTTTCATGCCGTATGTCGTTGATGATCCTGTGTGTTTTCGTTTTGTTTGTTTTCATGAAATTTGTGGTTAGGAGAAACATTATAAAAATGTAGCTTTCAACTATAATTTTACTCTGTAGTCAAAATTCACCACATATTACATGAGTTTGTATGGAATATGTTAGTGAATAATATTACAAGCCGACATAGCTAAGAAAATCAACCATGCCTGTGGATATCAAAGAGCTAACAGAAGGCTGGTTAGAGCTAGAAAGTGATCCTGGCTTATTTACCCTCCTTTTAGAAGACTTTGGAGTGAAAGGGGTGCAGGTTGAAGAAATATACGACCTGAATAAACCACTAGATAGCCCTGTATATGGTTTCATATTTCTGTTTAGATGGATAGAAGAAAGGAGGTCTCGCCGTAAGGTAACCGATTTGTTGATCATATAATAATAATCCGGCTTTATACAAAGTATAAAAAGGCGAAGTGTTGCTAAAAAGCGTTTTTCAACTTAACCCAGAAAGAGCAAATTATTTGTCGCATGCCAGGCACGATAGAGTTTCTGGCGAAATACAGAGATGAAGCATACTTACTTACTAAAAAATAATGTTCAAAAATTGTAGTTACAAAGTGTCTGCACCTGCACTAGCGGCATAAGTGTGTTCTTTTGATGACATAAGAACTTCTCAGCTAAAAAACCGTTATTCAGCGAGAAAATCCATTGAATTATTTCTTTAAACATGTTTTGAGCAGCTAGGCAAATCATACATTCCTAGTACCATATTAATATAGGTAAAAACTGCTTCCAAAATTCATTTAATTCTCTAGGCAAAATAATGTTTCAAGTATCCTTTTCATTCAATATTGAATTAAAGGTTTTCTTTTCTGTGGTTTCCAAAGTAAACATTATGTATTTGCATCTGGTAGTAGCTGGATTATATGTTCAAGTATTTCATTATTCATTCATTGATATTCAAATGAATTTGTCCATACCATAAGTACTGTAAAAAGAAAGATAAAATAAAATTTTGGCCAAGAGAGTTCCTTCTACAAAACTACCTAAAAAAACAATTGGATCTAATAATAATAATAATAATAATTGGTCTTTATTTAGGGCAAAGTTTAGCCATCCGCGATTCATCCACTTAACCCTACATTAGCAAGCTTAACAAATATTTTGTTGTACTGCAGGGTAGCAGATTAGGTCCACTACTACTTATTTTATACATTAATGAAATTTTTGATATTTTACATCATTGTAAAATTCAGATAGTTGATATATTAATATACATATTAGATGAACATTTTTCATCTAATATGTATAATCATTTTCTATATAGGTACTGCTTTAAAGATGCTAAATTCTGACAGCAAAAATTATAAATTGGTTGAATCTAAATATACTTAAAAAATTTTCATAAAACAAATTACTTGTATAACGCTTCTCACTATTAGAATAATATTAGATAAATATAAGTTTTGTTATTAAAAACAAATAAAACAATTGCCTAAATGTATGGATACTAGTTTTCTTGCTTAGAAATTACTTCGACAGGAGCTCCGTAAAGGCATCTAGTACATAAGTCTTTAGTATGTTTTACCATTTAATCTCCTTACGAGCCTCTTCTATAATGACAAAAAAATCAGTGATGATCAGTGCAGATCACAATGCATTTGCTCAGTGACATGAAAATATTATGCATTTTTCCATCATTGGTAGCCCTTTTCTGCTGATATGCATACAGACCTTGCTTCTTCAAGCTTTTTCTTGATGATGCTGCCATGCTATACATGAAGAATTGGCCTTTATAACTGCTTGTTTGTACTATTGACTTTTTGGAGACATACTATGTTGAGCAGTAAAAGATATGATATACATGCTCACTAATGCTTAATCACTGTAGGCTGTTACTTGGTTCTGTCAGTATACACATTTTTTTGAATAATTTTTCTGTAATTTTACATTTTTGTCTATTAAAATTACATCACTATGCATTTTCAATATTCATAAAGTGATTTTTTAATTTCACTTTAAACATTTTTGAAATCAAACACTTTAATATCATCATTCAATTTATCAAATTGAAATGCTCCATTTTGAAATACAGATTTGCTAGTTATGCTACTATTACAATTTTGCAGATGAAAATCTATACTGCCTCTAGTATTGTAGTTATGATAATGATTATTTGATTTCGTGAAGTCTTCTAAATGTGGTGGTAATACATGATTTTTCAATCTGAGTGTGAAAATGAGAACTGAATAATGTATGAAATTGTTTACATGCAACCACTGTAGATCTCCTGACATAGACCTAATCCTAGCATATTTGTTTTTATTTGATGATTCACTATCTATTTATTTTTTAGAATTTGTAATTTTCAAAATATGTTTTTATTTGCTGTAAACAAGATGGTTGAACACTATAAAAAATGAATCTTATAAATTTCGATAAATTTTAACATTTTTTGTTGTATTGAAGGTAGTGGAGCTGAATGAGACCTTCGTGAAAGATGAGGACATAGTAAACAACATATTCTTTGCTCAACAAATGGTTCCAAACAGCTGCGCTACTCACGCACTGATCTCAATCCTCTTGAATTGCCCAACAATACATCTTGGCGAGACTTTGGCAAGATTAAAAGCTCACACACAAGGTATGAGTCCGGATAATAAGGGCTGGGCGATAGGAAACACACCTGAGTTGGCATGTGCACACAACTCACATGCTATGCCACAAGCCAAGAGGAAATTGGAGAAAGGCAGCGGAGTATCTACAGGACGTTTCACAGGTAATCTACAAGATTATACAGCGAAATTCATTCATGTTTTTGGTCGCCGTTATCAATGAATGTCGCTGTATGTAGTGTCATAAATTATTAGGGAGTGTCCATTTAGTATGAAATCATACTTCCAAGGGGTGAATAATTTGAAATTTTATGGAGCTCAGAGTAATTCGCCGGCTCTGTCGATACTAGGAAATTAAATTGTGTTCAGTAGTTTGTCTTCTAGGTCTCGCGGTCCACCTATTCATGCTTTTGGTCCACCAGTGACATTGAGCTTGACTTTAGACAATGCAATCCAAAATAAGGACTTTTTATTTTTCTTATTTTCAGGTGAAGCGTTCCATTTTGTGAGTTTTGTTCCAATTGGTGGCAGATTGTTTGAATTGGATGGTCTAAAGCCTTTTCCTATAGATCATGGACCTTGCAATGAGTCCGATTGGACAGACAAATTCCGGAGTGTCATCACAAATAGGCTAGGAATGACAGCTGATGAATACAATGAGATTCGTTTCAACTTGATGGCAGTGAGTAACACCATTTGCCAACAATTATATTTTTTCCATTTATTTCATTTTCCAGGTAGTACCTGACAGGAGATTGGCAATACAACACAAATTAAAGATGCTTCGAACTAACAAACAAATTGTATTGGATGCCTTACAACATCTAGTCAAAATAAAAGACAAAGGAGGTGGAAATAAAACAGAGAATAGCACTGAAGTAGCGAAACCACCTGTAACCCTGGATGAAGCTAAAGTGAGTACAAGAGATCAAAAAACGTAATCGTATTTATTGTGTTCTATTTTTCTCATAACAGCCGACTGATCCTTTGAAAGATGATTTGACCGACGTCAAAACATCAAAGCCGGACTTGCCAGCACCAACCACGTCCAAAGTGACTCTTTGCCCTTTGGACTATGCGACGCCTTTGACGATCCAAACATCTCCCGCTCCTAGCACCTCCGGCACGGACACCCCTTCGGATTTAGGCTCTGCTTTCAATTCTCCCACGCAGAGCTGGAACTGGGAGAAAGGGCAGAACAGCCCGACTTCCAAGGATCTGAAGCGGTTTGTCGTTCTGCGGATGGGAGAGCAGTCCGTGGAAGATAAGGAGAAGGAAACACGTAAGTTGTTAGAACGTATTTTTCTATTTTAAATGTGTACGATATTTAGTACAAACTACATAAATTTCTGAATTATACATGTCGACAGGGTGACCCAATATACCGCGGATATACATATATAATTGGCTGATTTAAATTGCGCGCAGGTGAAGTTAAAGACTTGTCAAGGTCGGGCCGTGATCGAACTGTCGTACTCCGTCAAATATCGAGAGTGTTCGTGAAAGTGTAGTGGAGCGCCCTGAGACGTCTACCAGACATCGTTCTCAAGAACTTGGTATTCGTCGCACGTCATTATGCATTATTTTAAGAAAAAGACTTGCATTTGCGGCCATACCAAAATTTATTTAACCCAAGAACTACCGCCTAGGGACCATGAAAGTCGTCGACAATACATTCATGCCTTATTGCACCTTTCTGGCTCCTCAAATCTAACAGATTAGCCTGCAAAACATGTGGTACCAGCAGGACTGAGTAACTTGCCACGCCGCTACGGACATTTTTCTGATATTATTTTTCATACATAATTTCTAAGTTTCAATAAAATATTAAGATGAAAAAATGGACGTATTTTATTTCATTTCACAAATATTCAAGATCACGACCCAGTCAGTTACATATCGGCCACCCTGTATAAGTACCAAACAATGCGAGGCGGTCTGTTTTTATAGGAGACAAAAAATGAACTAAAATGAATGACCTTTTAGACGAAACAAATTCAGAGTCGTGCGTTGTACGTTGTGCGTTAATTTATTTTTCTTTGGGACATTTTTGTATTATATTGTATTTTTTTCCAAAGCCCGATTTTACTAGTGACCCAAGTGAATAAAAATTTCCGCCTATGGCACAAATTCGACCAAATTTTGCACCCCTCTTACTAATTAAATCCTGCCCACGTATTTTCAATCTGGTTGTGCTAAGCTGACAGTAAAATTGTCGACAGTCAGCGCCAAACCGACCGAGCAGTCGGAAAGGAAACCAGGCGGCGTCCACGCCAGGGTGCACACCAGCGACGGGGATCCCGTTATAGCGGAAAAAAAGAATCAAGAGCTGTTGGAACCGCATACGTTTGCTCCTAAAGATCTCTTGGCGCTGTTGAGAAATCTGGAGAATGAGATCTGTATGTGCGAGATCAGCCTGAAGGATGAAAATGACAAACAGAATAAGTATAAGGTACGTATCGGGTACGATCAATGACAATCGTTTCACCAGTGTCGTGACTGAAATTCACAGTAGGTAGAATGAGTAAGTCTATGATTTGTTTGTCTCCAAAATGTCATAATGAGAGAGATAGGGATGGAAAGAGAGTTGGGTAGAAGGAGAGAGAGGTGGAGAGGAAGAGAGAGAGAGAGAGGAAGAGACACAGAGGGAGAGAGAGAGGAAGAGAGAGAGAGGTAGAGAGAGAGAGGAAGAGACAGAGAGAGACAGAAAGAGGCAGATAGAGAGAGGAAGCGATAGAGAGGAAGAGATAGAGAGGAAGGGAGAGAGAGGGAGGGAGAGAGAGGGAGGGGGAGAGAGGAAGCGATAGAGAGGAAGAGATAGAGAGGAAGGGAGAGAGAGGGAGGGAGAGAGAGGGAGGGGGAGAGAGAGTCAGGAGAGAGAGTGAGGAAAAGAGAGCGGAAGAGAGAGGAGAGCGAGGGGGAGAGAGAGAGAGAGAAAGAGAGAGATTGACTTATCGGGGTGCGTTCATTAGTAGCATTTGGTGTTTATTTTTGATAGTTCTGTGGTTTATACGCAATTATACTGCGTGTTTTTTTTAAATCCCGTATTGAGCTTGCTCCAAAGAAAAAAAGGGTAGGTTCTGGAACGTGTCATAGAGAAGAAAAGGTTACTTCAAAATTACGTTCTGTATTACAGTCCGAATATTGAGCGGACTTTGTTTGTTTGTTGAAGATTTATTTAGTATTAATGCTACAATGTCAATTTTGTGCAGTTATTCGTTTACACATTTTTTTAATCCATTTTCTGTAATTTTACATTGTCTATGCATTTTGAGTATTCATAAAGTGATTTATTCATTTCACCTTAACCATTTTTAAATTCGCACACTGTTTGATAGCAATATTTAATTAATTCAATTCAAATACTCCCTTTTGAAATACAGATTTGTTAGTTATGCTACTATTCCAATTTTGCAGTTCAAAATCTATCTTGGCTCTAGCTTCGTAGTTATGATAATGAATACGAAAATGAGAACTAATAACATACGAAATTTTTTACATTCAGCCACTGTAGTTCTTCTAGCATATTTGTTTTTATTTAAAATGATTTACATATCTTTATTTTGTAGAGTTTGTAATTTTGAAAATATGTTTTCATTTGCTGTAAACAACATGGTTGAACAATATAAAAAATGGGGAAGAATTATAGTGTTATACACAGTTTTTTTGGAATACATACTAAGATTATGTAGAAATAATTTATCTTTTTTGATGTTTTTGAAATTATGCATTCATAATACTCTTGACATAGTAGTTTACTATCGACATGTATACCCGGATATTTGAATGATACGACTACTTGAATTTGTTCATCATTAGTCTTGAGCCTAATTGTATTGCCACCTAAATGTTTCCCTGTTGGCAAACATTTTTATTTATTAGTGTTTAATTTTAGTTTATTAATATTTAACCGATTCATGATTTTTAAACTTTTTGAAATAACACTATATAACAGTTCTAAAGCATTGTCCAATTTTTTATTTGTTATACAGGGTGTTTCAGTTTATTGTTGCATAACTTTAAGACTCGATAGAACTTTTAAAATTAATGCATACAGTCTATATAAACATTGGTCGAAAAATGCGTGGCTTCCGAAATACAGGGTGTTTAAATTTACTTTCTAAAATAGTTTTTTTTAAATATTTCGAACCATATTTGATGTATAACAGTGAACATTGGTATACAAGGATTTTTTTGTACGGCAAAACGAACCATGGGCATAGTTTTACTGTAGCCGCTAGAGGGCGCTCTCTACTGTACCTGTAGTGTATTAAAATGACCTAAAAATTTTTCTTAGTGCAATTTTTTGCTTTTGAATAAAAAAACTGATTCTTCGCACTTTTCTGCATAAAAAAGCTCTCCTGTGAGTTTTCGTTATAGTTAACCGTTTTTGAGATATTTCGATTTTTATGGTTCGATGCATTTTTAATTATCTCTCTTGATTGGAGAATAAAAATGGCATTTATATAAAACTTACAAAAAAACAGGTAAAAGAAACTAAATTTCGTGCATTCACAATTGCAAAAAAACGTTTCAGGTTTCAACAGACAACAAAACTAACTGTCAACTAATTGACGTTTAACCTTATTCTGCTTTCAATTTCAAAAATATTTGCAGGCATAGCCTACTTCTAAAAATTATCGAGATACTGACTTTTTAACGTTATTTTATCATAAATAATTAAAAATGCATCGAACCTTAAAAATCGAAATATCTCAAAAACGGCTAACTATAACGAAAATTCACAAGAGACCTTTTTTATGTTGAAAAGTGCGAAGAATCAGTTTTTTTATTCAAAAAGCAAAAAATTGCACTAAGAAAAATTTTTCGGTCATTTTAATACACTACAGGTACAGTAGAGAGCGCCCTCTAGCGGCTACAGTAAAACTATGCCCATGGTTCGTTTTGTCGTACCAAAAAACGCTTGTATACCAATTTTCACTGTTATACATCAAATATTGTTCGAAATATTTAAAAAAAACTATTTTAGAAAGTAAATTTAAACACCACGTATTTCGGAAGCCACGCATTTTTCGACCCATGTTTATATAGACTTTATGCATTAATTTTAAAAGTTCTATCGAATCTTAAAGTTATGCAACAATAAACACTCTGTATATACTTTGAAGTTGAGTCATTAATTTTCAGATAATGATTGTAGAAGGAAGATAAACCAAAATATGTGTGTAAAAATAAAAAAAAAATTAAAAAAAATGTTACCTTGTTTTATAAAGTATCCTCCCGACAAGTATTTCAGTGCGGACCTGCATTTGATCGTGCGGTCTTGGAGCACCGGCATGCCCTCCCCTGTGAGGTCTTAAGTCACCTGATTCACGAGCCCTTTGTACTACATTAACAAAGGCACGAGGGGTTGGTTGCACTCGATTGGGAAACCGATCCGCATAAATCCGTGATGCCGCGTAAATAGGAATCATGTCCACAAGTTCAGCATTTTCGTAAACATGTGCCATTTTTGATTTCGTTTGAGCCACGCAACAGACACCACTATTCACTCACGCGTTACCGCCTGACACTGACTGTATACAACTGAATAAAATAATTGTAAAAACATCGTTCCAAATTCTTTCGCTTTTTTGTTTCCGATGCGATGAACCTATAAGGCGGATTATATCCGTTGTTGCCAAACACGAGCACATAATATTATTATTGAGACAGGGCGGTACTCAAACTTCCAAAGGGCTATAACTTTGTTACTTTAATTTTACTAGAAAAATGGTAAAGGAAAAAAAACATTTCTTTTGATCAGATCTACTCACTGTTAAAATAAATGACTCAACTTCACCCTGCAAATATTTGAATTTTGCAGTGTCCTAAAATATCAGAGATATAATTTACATATACATATATAATAAATAGCAACGACCCTAATTCACTACTGATATATTTTGAACGCTTGAAATAATATTTCCATCTTTAGTTTTTTGACTTCTATTTAATAAATAATTTTGTAAAATGTTTAATACTGATTCCTTAAAATCATAGTGATGTCATTTCATTAACAATTTATCCCTATCTATTTGTATAATTACTAAAATTTGACAAACATAACTAACTTTTTCTTGGGTGGTAATCCATTTCAACAAAATGCTAGTTAGGGTATTTTTCTTCAATTTATTTTGTTACGTTTCGCCGCAAATCAGCTTCGGTATTGCAAACGTAAAAGAGGTCCCAGGTTTCGCATTTATTTGGATAACCGTCACTTTCGATTTTTCCCCAAGGTGGATGACTGCCGGCGAACTCACAACTACGACGAATTCATCTGCACCTTTCTGTCCATGCTAGCCGAACAAGGCAAGCTGGCCGACTTGGTCGAGCAAAACCTGATCGTACCAAAAAGGCCGAGCAACTCCACTCCTATACCGAAGCCCGCGAAGAAGAAGAAAGACATCACCACCAAGAAAAAGAAGAAGGGCAGGACGAAAGTGAAGAGAAGGAGATAGTGGTGGTGATCGTCGATCATCATGTGGTGATCCAGAAGAAACAACATTAGTAAAAGAACCTAGAGTCTAGAGTGTCATGCACCTGAGCTACTCACACCAGCTTTTTATTCGGTGTTATACGCTCCGAAATAGTGAGGATAACGAAAGTGACAATGTGTCAAGATTGTTAGGTTATGTTTTTCATTATTATTAAACTATCATCAAACCAATACCAGTCAATGGAGGATGGTAAAAATGGATAATGTTCTGACTCAGAGTCACAACGTAGATTTGAGATGTTCCTGAATAATAGAGATCTCAAGAGAGTGCAAGAATGCAGCTTCATAGTGGCTTGTAGTTGGCTCCATCTATAACTGAATTCAAATTTCAAAAGCACTGGAAACCGGCTCTGGTAGGTGTGAAAGAGAAAACACATGATTTTTTCCCTGGCACGTTCATTTGCCAAATTACGAAAATTGGTATTTCTTCGAAGAATTTTTTTAATTTAAAAGTTATATATTGGGAAATAACACTCAGTGTAGTATATAGAAGATTTTCTGTTCTTTTAAACAAAAAAAAAACATATTCGAAATACAAAAAAAAAAACCTTCAGGTGCTAAACCGATACTAACATTTCAAGCCAAAATTTGGGCAACGGTGCATTTTTTTATTTTCGATTTTTTTACTCGAAAATATAGCCTAAAGTGTGTTTAAAATACATTGGAAGTTTTGAAATGGTTTGCATTTTTTAAAGTTTTTATTTTTTCCGGACCTCCAAATGTATTGCACGTTCTTTGTAAAATTTGAGTTTTCATACGCTTAATTTTACAGATTGTTGCTTTCGATACTCCATATTTTTTTGCTAACTGTGTCACTCCCGCACCTAGTGCAACTTCGTCTATGATTTTCACTTTCTCACTCAACTTTAAACACTTTCTTTTATAGGATGTGGATGCCATAGTCGTAAAATATATTAACGCGTGCAATGTATTCACTTAAGTTCAAAAATGAAATACATACGTACGTATAAACGTATCCTAAACGATCATACGACTGACCGAGTTTGTCGTATTTTATCGCAGAGGTGAATCCCCTACACTCTACATCATAAATCGGGGACTCCCCGACGCCCAACATAAATCATCGAGGCTTCAGCATTTTACCGTCGCGCTGTTTCCGTGCGCCGAGAGTTGTTTACGTTATCGAGCATACACATTGTTTACGTTATCGCGCTTTCCGTTTGATCCCATAGAACGAAGTTTGTGTTTACATTAGCGCAAGTTTTCATTATCCCGTGTTTACGTTATCGAGCGTCTGCTGTATTTATCTCCTAAGGTATTGATACTAGTCTTTGATGGAGAGAATCAGATGATCAGAATACTTCTTTAGTTTCAAAACTACAATAATTTCCTACAAATACTCTTTCAGTTTTTCCGAACTGTGTGCTAGCAGTATTTTGTTCAAAAAATATATATGGATGCGGTGACAACGCGCGATTTAATTTATCATCACCCTGTATACAATTAATTAGAAAGGACTGCGTTAACTCTGTACTATCACTGTTAAATTTAAATAAAGCAGAGATGTAAAATAATAGATTACCATTTCATTGTACATTTCCAATTTATATTTTCCCTTTTCAAAATGTAAAGAGTAAAATATAAAATGAACTTATACAGGCCTCTATTATTTGTTAACCCCGCTTTGTCTGTGTTATATACATATATACGTAAAATCTGCTTTCAGTTAAATGAAAAGCTTTCCTGTGAAATATTAATTGGAAGCGGACTAATACTTCAATATATTTCTATCATTCAAAGCGCATAAAATATGCATTGTACAGTTTTGATGAATTCTTTATATACCGGGTGTTTGAAATTCGACCCACGCCGTTGGGATATCCGAAACGGTAAGTACAGGTGGACAAAGTATCAAGGCGACTAAAAAAATGTCACAGCACCTCCATAAACACTCCAGGCTCTACGAAACGAAATCCAGATGGACTGGGATACAATACACCAAGAAGACATCAATCACCTAGTCCAATCAATGCCGCGACGCCTTAACGAATGTGCAGCGAACAGAGGAGCTTCAACACATTATTAACATTAAGATGGGATATCTTCGCTAGTTTGCAAAATTTCGAATTAAAATTTTAACCACTTTCTATTTATCAGCAGACCTGAAACTTGCAAAATTATGCTCAAAATTACAGCACTCCTAGTCGGTGTTCATTTTCTATGTCATTTAGAATGCAGGGTGTCCACAAAGTTGGGGTTTTCCTTTTCAGAAACAACTACCCTTGAAATAACAAAGGTAAAGTGTAGTGAAACGAGGGCGACCAAGTAAAAAAAAAATAAAGGAAAAAGTACTCACTCTCCAGTTGACGAGAAGGGCTAAGTACGTCTCTGCCCGAAATCATACCGCTCCAACAGAAAATGAAATCAGCTGATGCGCTACAGAGCAGACGCAGGCGGTGGTGCAGACCACGAACAGAGGTAACAAATACGACGGCTTTGCCGCGTTTTTAGTTTTTAGGTAAACGTACTTTATAGGTATTGTTCGAAGTTATCGCCGTTTGATTCAAAAACACAGGTGCGTGCACGACGTAGCCAAGCATCGGTGCAGGCTTTGAGAATGGAGTCCCTCCCCAGAATGGAAGCACTAGCTTGTTCAATTCTGAGAGGAAGTTCGTCAACCGTATGCACTTCAGTTTTGTACACTAAGCGTTTCATTTCTCCCCAAAGAAAAAAATCACATGGTGTTAAGTCTGGAGATCGCGGAGGCCACGCTACGGGTCCATTACGTCCGATCCACCTATTCGGAAATAATTCATTCAAAAACTCACGCACTTCGCGTCTAAAATGGGGCGGTGCACCATCGTGCAGAAACCACATTGATTGTCTTACACTTAATGGCACATCTTCTAACAAGGAAGGCAAAATGTTGCATAAAAAGTCTAGGTATTGCATCCCGTCCAATCAATTTGGGAAAATAAATGGTCCAATGAGCATACCGTTCACCATGCCAGCCCAAACATTCACCGAAAATGTTTGTTGAAAATGTGCCCGACGGACAGCGTGCGGATTTTCTACTGACCAAACATGAGTGTTGCTAAAGTTATTCACCCCATTACGCGTGAACGTAGATTCGTCTGTCACCAATATGCACTTCAAAAAGTCCGGATTATTGTCACACTTTAGTTTTTGATACTTGCACTTCTCTAGCGACGTCTCTAGTGCTTGTTGAGGGATTCTCGTCTACGCGATTCAGTAGTTCTTCCTCAACTTGCACCATTCGTGGTTGTCTAGGCCTCCCACTGTGCCCACCTCGAAATTCCTCCAAATGGCCCGTATCCCTGACTCTCTGGACCAGGTACACAAATCTGCGGGGCCTTGGATGATGTCGTCTAGGGAAACGATCTGCATACACTCGCGAAGCCTCTGTAGCATTTTGAAGACATTCGCCATAAGTTAACAACATATCAACGAGTTCATTATTGGTGTATGAGTGTGCCATTATTATTTTTTTTTGAAACGCAATCGATTATACGGGTTCGTTTACCTCTACACGCGTGACCTTAACCGTCGGTTGAAGGTTGATTACTGACCTGACACACTGACCCCGACCCAGTTCTGTCGTCGGGTTGAGCTAGTGTCCTAGTACCACTCGGGGATGTCGCGGCTACAGGACGGTATTCAGATATTTTTGATGTTGCAGAGCCCTTTATCTCGGTTCCCTTAAGACATTGGTGTATATGGTACTAAGAAAAATTGCTTATGTTTTCAAGATCTACACGTCGTGTAAAGGAAAACCCCAACTTTGCGGACACCCTGTCACCCTGTATAAATTAATTTCCATTTTTTTCCTAAAACTTCAACACCCCGAGTGTTTGTAAGGAAACCGACTGTTTATCTCTGACTGTTTCCGAGGTCTCAATAGTGAGAGCCGAATTCGAAACACTCGGTATGCAGTTGAGCAACTGAATAAGTACTGCAATTCTTTTCAACCGGTCGCCCCTCATCGCTATAAATAAAAAATCGCTCTCACCAGATATTTTAAACGGGAGCATTTTTCAGTTCCGGCCGCCGCTTTGCAGCGAGAATTTCCCTTAAACGGTCATTTACATGTGTAATTATTTCTCCAAATGAGCACGATAATTAAAAATGGCTTAAAGAGCGTGGGAGGGGCTCAAACGGCGACCGGCAGCATCCGGATGCCGAGTCGAGTAAAGTACGCGTTTAATTTAATCTAATTTAGAAACGGTCCCAGGAATATATTTTATTCCGGACATCTTAATTACACCCTTGCCTGTACCTCCTTTACTATATAAAGGACACCTTTAACATTTATCGGTACGGGAAGAACTGTCAGTACTGCTAGCCTAGCTAGAGTCTGGGTACGAAATTCTTGGCATTGACTCATCAACGCTGTTTAAATAACCGCAGTTGCCAAATTTCAAAACTTAATTAACCTATCCATTTTAAAAGACTATCTGATCTAAAACTAGTAAGAACTAAGAAACGTATATTCAGATGAACAAACAGTAGTAGAACTACGAATATAAAATTTCTACACTGACTGTCGACAGACGAGGAATTCGTAAAACATCAGTTTGGTAGTTACGAACATGGGCTATAATAACAACATGACAACCTTGTCAGGAGTCGGGCAGATGATGATCGCGATTGGTGTATATCTCCATACCCCTTATCGCACTGTTAACATGACAACCCTAGTATCATTCCAGTGGCGTAGCACAAGGCGAATAGTTCTAACACGATTATACAGGGTGTCCGCAAAGTTGGGGTTTTCCTTTTCAGAAACAACTACCCTTGAAATAACAAAGGTAATGTGTAGTGCAACGAGGGCGACCAAGTAAAAAAAAAATAAAGGAAAAAGTACTCACTCTCCAGTTGACGAGAAGGGCTAAGTACGTCTCTGCCCGAAATCATACCGCTCCAACAGAAAATGAAATAAGCTGATGCGCAGGCAAACAAGGAAGGCAAAATGTTGCGTAAAAAGTCTAGGTAATGCATCCCGTCCAATCGATTTGGGAGAATAAATGGTCCAATGAGCGTACCGTTCACCATGCCAGCCCAAACATTCACCGAAAATGTTTGTTGAAAATGTGCCCGACGGACAGCGTGCGGATTTTCTACTGACCAAACATGAGTGTTGCGAAAGTCATTCACCCCATTACTCGTGAACGTAGATTCGTCTGTCACCAATATGCACTTCAAAAAGTCCGGATTATTGTCATGTTGATGCAACAACTACTCACAAAACCGCACTCTTGCTGGAAAATCGTCAGGTTGAAGGGCTTGTACACGTTGGACGTGAAACGGATACAGCCCCTCTTCAAGCAGCGTTTGCCACACTTTAGTTTTTGATACTTGCACTTCTCTAGCCACGTCTCTAGTGCTTGTTGAGGGATTCTCGTCTACGCGATTACCTCTACAAGCGTGACCGTAATCGTCGTTGAAGGTTGCATACTGACCTGACACACTGACCCCGACCCAGTTCTGTCGTCGGGTTGGGCTAGTGTCCTAGTACCAGTCGGGGATGTCGCGGCTCCAGGACGGTATTCAGATATATTTGATGTTGCAGAGTCCTTTATCTCGGTTCCCTTAAGGCATTGGTGTATATGGTACTAAGAAAAATTGCTTATGTTTTCAAGATCTACACGTCGTGTAAAGGAAAACCCCAACTTTGCGGACACCCTGTATAGTGATTGAGAATCGATGACGCTCACAGCGCTCATAGCGAGCAAACGCGGACTGTACTGTTCCTTCACTAGGAACTATCTAGGCAGCAAGTTAACATTTAGTCATTTTTTAACATTTGTGTTAGGGGAGGATCGATCTATTCATATTCAGGAAGATATTTCTCTGCGGGGGAGGGAGGCAGGTGGGTTGC